GACAAAGGTTTATGAAGGGACAGCTCTCCACGCCCGCGCCGGTCATCAATGCGTAATCCCGTACCCTGATCAGATGATGGTCGTCGGCGGCTATGCGGCGATGGCTGGTAGCGGAGCTCCACCATGTCTTGAAGGAGGCATCATGCAGGTCTTCAATCTCTCCAGTGCAGAGTGGCTTGATGGATACAGCCCAACGAAATGGTCAAACTATACCATCCCCACCGCCGTGCAAAGCAAGATTGGAGGCGATGAGAGAGGCTCCGCAACGAAGACGACTCCAGAGCCGTCCGGCTGGTCCGATCAAGGACTGGCATCCATCTTTGCGACTCCCTACGTCACCTCGAAGATTAATACATGGTACCCGTACACAGAAGCCAAAGATCCCGGACGACCAACTGTCACAGGTGGCGGGGACAACAACGGCGGCGGCGGTGGAGGAACCCCGAAATGGGTCGCCCCTGTCCTCGGAGTCGTCCTCGGCCTTGTTTTCATCACTGCCATCCTCGTCGGCTTCTGCCTGTGGCGTCGTCGCAGAATACTCAGACGAGGCAACGGAACGGCAACCCACACCGACGACAATGGATCTAGAATCATCTCGTGGATCAGAGGCCAGCCCAGCGAACCCGCCAAAGCGCCTACCGTCACTACTGAGGAAGCCTCTTCCCAAGATATGGCCGAGGTCCGCACGCCGCCACCTGCCCCTGCGGCATCGCCTGCACCTCAACAGGTGCATCACGAGATGGCCGACAACCAGATTGCAGAGCTGCCAGGTAAGACATTCCTCATATCTCGACTTAAACAAGTACTTATCAAGAATAGACACTTCACGACCGCCAGAACTGCACGGCACAGGTCTCACCCCCATCGAGATCATCAACAAGCACACGCACTTTGGAACCGGTGGCACATCCAACCCCGCAACAACACACCAATCATCCTACTACGCCTCCGTCTCCTCCAACGAGAACGCCTCATCGCTCTCCCGCTCTTCGGGCGTCCTCGGGTACCAGACCCGCGCCCAATCGCCCGACCCAGGTCCGCCGTCGCCGCCCATCAGTAACGCTGCGCCCGCTACCTCTACCGGACGGGTCGGCTCCGACGTCTCCGGTCTCAGTGATCAGGAGGCACGGCACCTGCGGCATATCAGCGAAGCGACTGTCAGCTCTGCCTCATCGGGCGGCGAGCAAGATGGCCCGGCTGCTCGGGAGCAGCCACGTAGTATTCCGGAGACGGTGCCGGAGACTCCGACTCCCGGACACCCGAGTCCGCTGAGCCCCCCGACTGGGGCATCGGATGGGGATGATTATATTAGTGCGAGGATGTTGCCGGTTAGTCCGGCTGGTACTGCTACTATGAGGAGGAGTATGTTTCACGAGAGTGAGGATGATCTTGGGTCCAAAAAGTAAACTATCACTGTGGACAAGGCACTGGTTTCGGTTGGGTTATTTATCTTTTAATATTGAATGAACACAACGAATCCCCATACTCTGTTGAGACGACGGAACTGATTCTGTATGAGCACTGACAGGCAACTAAGGTACACGACCCACAACATAGACAAGACTGTACAATCCATACTTCGCCGTAAGTATGATAGAGACCAGAACGGAAACGCCTAAACTTTCATCCCAGAAAAATCATTATAACTACTTTATCAGATGATTTTGCAGTGCTGGATATTTCCCACATGATGCAGATCAGGTCAAAGAGCAGAATCGAGCCAGAGGACTCTCGCGAGGTGGGTCAGGCCTCAGAAGGTTGTCACGAGTACCCAGAACACCTGCAATCGAAAGGCCACGCTGAATCTTAGTCACTTCACATTCCAAAACTTTCTCCAAGTGAGCGTGGGACGTATTACCTCTCATTACCTCTGCTATACTAGAAAAGAGACGAATGGCTCCGCAAATGCCCGGCCAAAGAACCACTCCGCGGACATTGGCCTCGCGATGGAGAAGGTGTCAGCGGCAACCCGATCCGCCGACGAGGTCTTTCGTCTTTGACGATGACAAAGATTTAATGATCGAGCGTCGCCGTAGCTTACTTAGTAAGGCGGATATGCGACGGCCCATCTTGACCACTTTCGAGTCTCAGGATGAAGCTTGAACACCAACATCTTTCCAGAAAGAGCGCTTCAAAGACAAGCTTTCGCGCGATACTATAGACAATCGAATATTTTCAGTTCCCTCTAACGTAGTCGTTCCCAGGGTGGGTGTCTTCTTCCCAGAAGCTCATCACGACATTTTGTCTGAAACCACGAGCCGAAAAGGCTCGGCACCACATCGAGACAAGAGCTGAAGGTTAATACATCGCTCAAGAAGCAAAAAGAACTCCTCGACGGGGAATTGAACCCCGGTCCCCTGCGAATCGTTGAATTTTCTATGACAAGCAGATATCCTCACCACTAGACTATCGGGGATGGGTGGATGTGATCATCCAGTGACAGTTGCTGGGTTGGCAACAACGGACACAACTTGCCCCATATAGGTCGGGGTTGGACCCATACTTAGACTCCACAAGGAGCGCCGTTGTAGTTACCATGGTCAACTTATTCTGAGCATATAGTCTAATGTCCAAAGACTGACGATGTATAGTTGGCAATGAAAAGCAGTTGATGTGAGTCTCGGACGTTTGGACTTTTGAACGGGCACTTGACTTTTGAACGGGCACTAGACTTTTGCAGGGTGCGCCTCTGCTTGTCTCTGATAATTAGCTAGGTCATTTGATAGGGGTAAGCTTTACAGCAAGCGAGCTCATACTTCTGCCAAATGAGAGCAGAACCAAAAGAGCCCTCTGAAGAGTCTTGCCAGAAAAGTGGAAAGGCTATATGTTCTAACGTAGGAACTATTAGGTATACCTTAATAAGTTCACCTTGCCTAGAATAACTTAATGCCACTTTTCAAGACGGCCAAAAGTTTTTATTACTTATCTCTGAGATCTATTACCTAGTCAATTGAAACGTCTACTAATAGTATATACATTTCAAGCTTTTACTTTCTATTATAACTATCATTACTACTATCATTACTACTATCATTGCTATCATCATTGCTACTTAATATCTATTCACTAGAGAATATACTCTGCGAACGACCCAAAAGGAGTAACAATAGAAAAAGTGAAAGCGATAACAAGAGCATTAGTAGAGCTAATAGAAGAGGCAGTAGCAGTGGCACTGGTAGAGGTAGCGGTAGAGGTAGAATAGGAACTTGGGAAGTGTTGGGAAGTAAGATATCTTGTCACCCGCTCTTCTATATCTCGGCCGTAGACACCTAGAGCAAGCATCCTGGTGCATGGCGATTTGTGGCGTGTCTTGCATGCTTACAGTCAGAAACAAGATCCTGTGGTTTACTGGTAGTAGGTACAACTGTGTATCGTTCAATCTCAACTCTTTATTTTTCCCCTTCGTTAACTAGGTACATGGCAACAACACCACTGGGATCATCCGGAATTAGTCCTCAGATTACGAGCTGAGTACAATTCGAATGAAGATGCATTCAGAGCTCACTTTCATCATCTATAGAAAGCACTGGCGAATTTGCATCGAGAAAGCGCAGAGGTAGGTTCCTAGTCTCTACATCAACGCCATTCTGTTCGTTACCCTCCGATGAGACCTCATAATCACGGCTGTATACTTCCCCGTCAGACTGTGTTGAACTGACATGGTCGTCGGGGGATTCCTCCTGTCTTTCGAAAGCTCCAAGCAAATCACGACTCCATATGTCACCCCATGATGGAGAACACCGGTCCACTTGTGCCATGTCATCAGTTATTTTCGAGCGTATCGATGATTCACCGAAGACGGCGCTATGTCTCAACACTACCAGGAGATGTTCCGACTTGTGAAGGGTGTTCAACATCCAAAGATCGACCCTGTCTCTACCCGACGTTCCGGCTCCAAGCTTCGTCAACACACGGAAAGTTTTTGATACAGGGTCAATCATAGGCCACTCGGTAGACGTGTCTGGGCACGCCTGTTCGAATTCAACGATGCAGTGCTTTCCTCGGTGACATCGGTCGCGGTGTTGAAATGCGCTCTTCAGATGAGAATACCTCGCCCCGCTTTGGCACTCTCTGCAAGACTTGTATGAGTCGATTGAAGACCTTTCCCTAGAGTCAAACGAAAGAAACCAATTACCATGGTACACTGGGCGTTGTCCACCATCTTTTTCCTGGGATGCATGAACCTTTTGGAAGAAGAATTTCGGTTTCGGTAGCCATCTACTCCGGAATATCCTGTCAAAGCTAACAGACATTTCCTCCGCTAGGTTGGCTGCCTGATACAAACTTGTAGCAAGTTGGAGGGAAGACCCTGGAGAGTAAGCAGCATTTGATAGCGTCTCCAGACTTTGCCGCATCTCATGGAAAGTATTAAGTCCATGCGAGGTTGGCCTTTCAACCCCGACAAAGCTGGATATCAAATATCGCAGCTGGGTTTCGAGAATGAGGGGTGCCGTGGACGTCTCTAGTTGTTGTGGTTCGCCGTAAAGGGACATTATCCTCTCATCCTGGACCGTCGATGTTGACTGGAAGAATATTTGCTTAAAATGCGCAATGTTGTTAGAGAACACCTCTCCGTTGGCTGCATGATCCTTGTCTAAGTGAGAACCGAAGCTTCTGCCGAACCTATAGCTTACTTGATCGCACCCTGCGAGATTATGGGAATCCACGACATGTTTCGATCCGTCGAGCGACTCAGTATTTGCAAAGATTTGGTCACAAAAGGCACATCTAATCTGACCCAAATGCTGATCCTTCAGGGTTTCGATGAAATAATCGTCAATGCCTATTGCTTGGGCACATGTCCACCCCATCGGACTGCCAACAAAGCTGGGCTCCAAGTTCAGATTGCTAGAAACCGTTTCAAGGCCTGAATGTCGCCGTTTCCTAGTGACCTCGGAATTCAAAAACGAGGACGGCCTTCGCGAGTGATTGTTCGATTCACGCCAGGGGACTTGCGATAAAGGCGGAGTGACGAGCCGTTGAAGGGATTCGGCCATGCTTTATACACTGTCGCTCAGTCTAGAGAGTTGACTCCGAGTTTCGTGGTGTTCCAATGCAAATTGTTCCTTACTAACTCTAGAAGTGGAGAAGATGGTGTTCATGTCAAGAACAATCTGCGACCGATGACGCGCCAACTTAGACTCCATTTCCGAAATCTCCCGGCTTCTCTTGTTCGATATCCCCTCAATTATCTTTTGGCGCTTTGAGGATGGCCCATCTCCGGGTCGGTACGATTCGGTCCAGGTATCTAAATCCCGAACGCAATCCTCGAGACGGGAAGAGAAAGTGGCAAATTGCTGAACCCAAAGAAGTCGGCTTTCATCAAGTGCCTTTTCGTCCAACGTGTTGAGCAGATACTTGAAGTCAATTAGTGTCTGGGAGAGTAGATGGGCTTCTGCCGTCAGTCGTTGCGCACGCGCATCCGCTTCCTTCAAGTCATGGATAAAGGCATTGAGCTTGACAAGCCCATTGAGGACATGGCCAGCGACAGACAGCAGGCCCGCGACGCTGGCGGCTGCGGAAACTGCCTCCATGTTGCAAAAGTTGGTGCTTTGTCGAAACTCAGGCATCCATAGGTCTTGAACCGAGGGACGGCGGGGTTATGAGCGATGGGCCATGGCTGCAGTCAGCAAGATGGTCACCACTGCCACGCACCTTACATGTGGCAACTGCAGCACATCTCCTGCGCTGCAGTGTTGATCATCCCGATTGGATAGCACTCGCTCCTTTCCATGTGATATGGGTGGCTTGATATGACCGCAGCTTGCATTGGTCTTAGGCAATCGTCGCCTCACGGGTTGCCTTACGAATTGCGAACGACTTTGGGGCCATGTCTTTTCTTCCTTCACATGTTACGTTGGTGTTTACCCCAAGCACTGGCTATATGAGCTCGAACACTCGAATACCTACGAGAACGGATGCCACCGATCTATGCACTATCCACGGCCGGGCTATCGACATAAGAGAAGATGTGGAGGGAATTGACTTTGGGAGGGAATGTTCCTCGACGCAGAGTCAAAGAAGTCTCTCGGTCCGAATGCATCATTTGTCTCAACCATTTGAGCAATTATGGAGAGAAACAACTGAAATTTGGGGATAAAGAATGGTTTGAACCTAGATTAGCACAAAGCGCTTCTCAATGATTCTTAAGCTACCTCGGCAACAACAAGGGACTGCAAGAAAATCACTGGCAAGGGAGACTTGCGGATGGGTCTCTTCTTTGTACTCAACTAGAGAGGGGATAGCAGATAATGCCAAACCGCGGAAGACAGAAGACAAGAAATAAATGCAAAGACACACCCTCATGAATGAAAAGAAATTGCACAAACTTTGGTGTAAGCTCTCGCAATTCGTTTGGAAACAGGTCTCTGGAAGACGCACCTCATTTCAAGTTCAGACAACACCTCTTCAAAACATCACGAGCTGACTTGCATCAAGTGAAGCCGCCTTGGACCAAAGTTTCTCGAGACTTCTTGAGAAACTTTCTTCACCAAAGAGAATGCCACCAAGGTCAAACAATGGCTCTTCAAGCCGACAGCCACCGGAGCAGCAACAACAGCAGCCACATGACCGTGATTTCGGGCCCGGATGGGACTATACCGTCCCACGGATCCCGGCTTTGCCAAACAACGGCTTCAACGTGCCTGCCCAGGCGGGACCATCGAATGCGGTGCCTCCTCAGATGGGCCAACAGCAAGCCCAGTTACCGGTGTCGAACATGATGCCGAACCAGAACTTCAACCCGCCGCCGGCGCAGTCCATGGACCCTAACAACCACCAGAACAACAGCCAGCAAAACAACAACCAACCGCTCCGCTGGGCGAATCCATACCAGCCCCAAGACCAGGCTCAGCCCCGTCCCGCGGGCCAATCCCAGCCAGCAAAGCGCGGACGACCCCGCAACCTCGACGAGGAAGATCAAGACGAAGGACAAAGAGCATCAAAAAGGCCCAGACTTCAGCAGAACCACTGGCAACCGCCCCTCATGCGCATCACGCACTCCCCCCAGGTCGGCCAGCACAACCCCATCGACAACACGTGCGACCACTGCCGCGCCCGCCCTCACGAGAACCAGGGCTGCGACGTCGACCTCGCCAACCAGATCGAGTGCCACCGCTGCACCCGCCATCGCGCCCTCGTCGACCCGAGCCACATCTGCAAAGTCCTCGGCAGGGAACACTGGCAGAAGCGCTTCGCCAATTCCCGGCCGTCGTATCCGATCACCGAGACGAGCTCGAGCGTCTGCATGCGGTGCAAGACGCACCAGGGTAGCGGGCGGATCGGGCTGTGCGATATTGACGACCGGGTCAAGATTGGGTGTACGCCGTGTAAGAATGATCAGGCGCTGTGTCGGGTGTACGACGAGCAGAAGGTGAGCGGCGAGAAGCCGGACGTGGATCAGCCGGCGGAGGTGATGTGGAACCGGCCGATGCCAGGGGACGGCACCGTGCCGGCGGGCCGGCGGCCGTGGTGGCGGCAGATGTGTCAGGGCTGTCAGCCTGGCAAGACGAAGCCGTGTTCCTGGATCCGGGACTTCCGGCTGAGGGAGTACAAGTGCACGTCGTGTGTCGAGAAGAACATACCCTGCGTGGACCCCTGGACGACAGCCACGTACGATACCCCGTACACGTGGGCCCCCGGGGATGGGGACAAGATTGTCTACGACAAAGGGACCAAGATCCGAGATGGTAGGCACCGGTGCACCAATTGCGCGACGAACCAGGCCATGTGCCGGTCCCTCACCGACGAGGAAGACTTTGCGTGCGTGCGGTGTACTTCGTGGGGCCTAGTGTGCGAGACGCCCGGGAATGGGAGCCGGCACCCGTCGCGGCAGCTGCCTTGGATCGATCGGAAGAGGATCGGGTGGTCTGGGTGGACAAAATGCACGGCCAACGGCAAGGGGATGAAGTTCAACGGGTGCCGGCGGTGTCGGGAGAACGGGTATAAATGTGATCGGAAGCGGCCGTGCGATAGGTGCGTCAACGACAGGGCGGAGGCGGACTGCGATTCGTGGGTGATGAACAAGGAGTTGGTTAGACGCAACGGGACGGATGGCGCGGAGCAGCCAGAGTATTACATGGCACTTGGGTACGGTCCCAAGGGTATTCACGATGATCGGACGTTATGTTTGGAGAACAATCTCCTCGGGCCAAATAGACCAAGGTACGCGGTCATGACGGATCCTGCTGCTGCTGTAGCTGCCGTTGCCGCTGCCGCCGCCGCTGCTGGTGTTGGTGCCGGCCCGGCTGATTCTCCGGCGTCTCCCATCATAGGTGGAAATCCTCCCATGGCGGCGCAGCAGGACCCACGTCAGTTCGGAGATGTCGTCGGTAACGGGCCCGGCGGCGGCGGCGGCATGGCCCCACAGCCACGGCCCATGGCGGCAGACGGACAGCAAGGTTTCGCCGCACCGCCCGGCCCAGTGGCGTACCACGACCCGGCCTACCCCAACGGCAACCAGGACCACATCCGCAACCAGCACAACGATATGATGTACGGCGACAACAACGCGGCCGCCGTGGCGAATCAGACAGGCGGGGGCTTCTCCGACTGGATGAGCGGTTATAACGCGAGTAATAACCAAGCTGGTCCAAGCCGAAACGCTCAACCGCCTCTGTTCGAGGGCCAGGCTCAAAACCAGGGCGATATCCAGTACATGATGGGCAACGGGTACGATATAAACCCCGAGAACCTAGTCCAAATGGCAGAGGCACAGCCGGTCCTCATTCACCCGCAGCTAGAAGTCGACCCGGAACGCGAACAATCTGAACTCACCCGCGGCATCTGCGACTTCATGGCCCAACTAGCCCGAGACAGCCGCTTCGTACCCATCGAGCTCCGCAACTTCAACCCCCCCGAAGTAGCCGAAACCCCTCCCGCCGCCCGCATCGGTCCCCCCGCCGTCGCCATCCTCGAGCTCACAGACCAAGACGCGGCCGAAACGCCCCGCGAGCCGCCGGGACCGCCAACATGGAACCCGGCCCCCTACGACCCTCAACTCCGAGTCGCCCTCGCCCGATGGAAACGCCCGGCCAACGACGTCTTCCACGACATCCCCGACGCCTCCCTCCTAAACGGCGCCCAACCAGACAACCAGCCCTGCGAGGAAATCAAGCCCGCAGCACCAGGAAACGTCTGCAACACCCTCGTCCCCGACGGCGCGCACTGCGAAAACCTGGAACACGCCGCCGCGCAGCCGAAACCGCACGTCGTCTGCGAAGGATGCGACCTGACCTCCAAGAAACACCTCTTCGAGGGCCCGCAACCCCTCACACGTATGGAATTCCTCAATATGCGCAACTACGCCTGCGGCGGCTGCGCCCACACGCGCCAGGCCGACGTGCGGTTCGGCGGCAGGATGCCCAACGGCCAGCTCGCGAACCCGCTGCACCCCGTGACGGGCTGCCTCTGCGCCAGGAAGCTGCTCGGCCGGCGGCTGTGCTCGCATCACCGGTACCAGCTCGCGCAGCGGCTCATGATCCAGGTGTCCATGGTGCTCGAGTGGGCGATTACCAACTTTGGACCGGACATGTGTCTGTTTTGTAAGCAGGGCGGCCATCTCGCCAGGAGCGTCGCGGAGTCGAATAACGGGATCATGGACGATGTGTTGTACGTGTGCCTCAATTGTGAGGGCATCGTCGGCGTGAACGGCCCGAAGCAGCTCGTTCCGGGTGTCGAAGAGTGGATTGGTGGGTGTCATCCGTTTTCCCTCTACTCGGAGCCGTGGCTGCAGGCGCCTATGCAGGATATAGAATGGGACGCCTGATTAGGCGAATATGGCCCCGGATGTCTCATGGAAGAAGCTAGGTAAAGTGAAAGAGGAGGAGTTCTGGTTGGCGGTATCTTTCTCTGGTTCGGCTTTGGATTCGGATAGAAACGCAGTTGGGTTGATACTACGGTAACGGTGGAGCACACATGGTGCGTTGCAGGTGTTTCGTTTGATTTGAAGAAAAAGAAAACGTTTGGATTCTGACGTTTTCGCTCCGGGCCGTGAAATCATAGCCGAGTGAAGGTAGAGGCACACCGTTGAGACTTGAGGGATGGTTGCGAGGTTTCTGCGCGACTCGCATCTGCATGTCTAAGGTGAGGTAAAGTGATGGGAGCCATGGCCCTTGGGGCAACAGGGCGGTTCAGAGCCTCAGGCTATGTATTCCGTGGTGGGCTGCAGTCTTTGGGGGGGGGGGGGACTTGTTGAGAGTCGTCATAAGCAAGCTGCATATGCTCCGGGTTGTGTTTCTTGTGCCCTAGTGTTGTGACATTTTAGCAATGAAATAGAATATTGGGAGTTTCTTATTCCATTGGCATCGGAAATCCGGAATGTGGAACACTTACCGACAGAGATTTGTCTCCTCTTTGTGATCCATCAATCCAGATAATCAAATGCTAGCTCACCTATGTACTGTCGCTCGGTTTCTGGAGTGGGCAGACTAGCCTGTTTCTAGATAACCTCGTTTCATCGTCAGCCACGACATACTGAGGTATCACATGTCGTGAGACGTTGCAGTGGCATCTTGAACGACAACCATGTGTGCGAGAAAACGCGAACGCTGAGTGGACAAATCCTCACAAAGCTACAGCTCAACCATTGAAAATCACATTGAGGGCAGGATAGGTATCACATCTCAGATGAACTGACGTAAAGGGAATCTGTATGACTTGGCGACTGACTCTGACCTCAGAAAGACCTTGCGGTGTCTCAGAAGAAAGAAGAAATTACAGTATGAAAAGAAAAAAGGAGTACCGATATAAAGAAGAGACAGAGACAAGCCGATGTTTGGTCTCAAATAGCCCTCCCAGTGTGTGTAGTAAAGAATCTCGAATCCACCCTCCACAAGGTCTTGCGGCCAACAGTCTCTGGCTGGCAGACCAGCCAGTCTGCAGCCCAATCTTCTCTGCTGCCGCACCACACGATGAGGATACTGCCAGACAGCCTTGTGAAAAGGACTCTCTTCTCTTGTCCCCTGCCACATACAATCGTGTGCGATGACCATGTCCATGAAGTTGCCCTGAAAAGAACAAGTTCCAAAAAGTGCAGCAAGTCAGAACCCGACTCCCCGTCCGATGCAGCACAAACAAGATTTTGATCATTGGTTCCCCACGTCAACATGTCTTTCTCCAAACGACATCTGCTGGGCCTGCTTGGACCTGTTCAAAAGTCCAGACGGGGAAGAAACCGTGCGTTCAGCATCAACCAGCGGCATCCACCAGCCCAGTCAAGGCTCAAGGTATCTCACGACTCTCTAGCCGCTTGGTTCACCACCATCCCCCCTCCCTCTTGCTCTCTCGCTCTCTGTCGATTGCGCGCGCACTCTCGTTCTCTCTCTTTCTCTCCAAGTCGAAGTCGAAAAAGGACTGCTCACATTATTACGCACTTGGAGCAGCAGCCTGCCTCTTGCTCGCCACCCTCAACGTCCATGGGCTTCGGGGGTCCGTTAATGCCAGAGGCGCCACCGCTGCCGGTAGAGTAGCCCTGCATCTCTCGGTTGTATCGACGGATTTCGCGGACAATATCATAGAAAGCCTTGTCGACGTTGATGCGAGACTTGGCTGATGTCTCAATGAACTTGCATCCAAATGACTTGGCAAGAGCCTCTCCCTCTGTAAGACATGTATCAGTCATCAACTCAATCGATTAAATCAATCATCAGATAAGAGGCCTATCTGTCGGAGGCACGATCATGCAGTGATGCGGCGCAGCAATTGAGAGAGAAAAAAAAGTACCTTGTCGTGTGACTTCTCTCTCGCCCTCCAAATCGCACTTGTTGCCGACGACGACCATAGGGAAGTAGTCCTTGTCCTTGACTCTCAGAATCTGCTGCTGGAATGTGGTGATTTCCTCGAAGCTCTGGCGCGAGGTGATGGAGTAGACGAGCAGGAATCCCTCTCCCGTTCTCATGTACTGCTCGCGCATGGCGGAGTACTCTTCCTGACCGGCGGTGTCGAGAACATCGAGCAGGGCAACTTCCTCGTCAATAACGCACTGCTTGCGGTAGGAATCTGTAGTTGAGGAGAACCAGGTTAGTTTGAACGATTGATTCGCGGTCGCATCAACCGGCAGTAGGAAGTTTGATTATTATCGAGGCAACGTACCTTCAATCGTTGGGTCATACTCGTCGACGAAGTGGCTCTGGATCAATTGAATGGTCAAGCAAGATTTACCGACACCACCGCCACCGACGACGACCAGCTTGTACTCTCTCAAGAACTGCGAAAGGATGACGGATTAGTAACGGGTCGATGGAGGCGAAGAGGACGAGGCAAGGGTTGAAGAGTGGGAGGTCGCGCGACGACGCGAGAACGAGGACGAGGACAAGAGCGAAGGCGAGGGAGACGACGAACCTTGGACGCCATTGTGCTGTGATGATGTGTTGATTGATGGTTGAAATCTCGACGGGTCTTGTTCGCGCGCGATGTTGATGGCTTGAAGCAACTGCTGTTGAGGTGAAGACACGGGCGAGATCCGGGAAACAGTCAGGAGCAGCCGGGCGATTGGCGTCTCGACGGATTCGGAAAGGGCTCAGCGAGGTTGGATTTGGCGAGGTGCGTGAGCGTGAAGGTTGAGTTGAAAGGAGTGGTTTGGCAGCGAGCGAAACGACGGGTGGGAATCTGGATCTGGTACGGCACAGGCCGGATTGCGAAGTTTAAAGGTGAAACGACGAGGTCGATGGCAGAAATCCGGGACTGACAGCAGACAGTCTTTCGAGAAGGAGAATGAGAGAATGGGCACGAATGGGGTGGTGTTTCGTTGTTGCTAAGGGGGGGCTTTTTGGCAAAATGTGGAGATGGGGGAACGGGTCGGTCCAGTAGAAGGGAAGGAAGGACCTGCCTGCACTTTACCTCTGCTCCTGCCTCCTGGCGCTGCTGCTGGGTGCTGTGTGTGCTGGGGCAGGTGCGGGTGCGGATGCGTGTGTGCTCCTTCTCTGCTCCTGCTCTGCTCTCTGCTCTCTGCTCTCTGCTCTCTGCTCTGTTCTCCTGCTAAGGGTAGGTGCTGAGGTAGACAGGAGGAAGGGAAGGTACGAAGCTGAGGTACCGATTAAGCATACTGGGGTACCTGCTCTTGCAGCTGCTGCACAGCGGAAATCGCAGTACACCCACTCACTCCACACGTTGTATCTTTCCTTACATCGGCCTTTCCTGCCGTCCCTGCCTTCCGGTGTCCACTCCCTCCCAGCTCCCCTTCGCTCTTTCCCGCGCCTTGCTTTTTTTTTTTCCTTCCCTACTGGACTCCTTCCACACGCACCTCCATTCTCCCATTGCCAGACGAGCAGGGCAGGGAAGGTGCTGTATCCGTTCATCCACCTTCGTCCAGAAACGGTACGTAACTTTAGGGCAGACAGTAAAGTGTTCTTTCATCACACTGGGGGAGGGGGCATGCCACACACTCTCTCATCTCTCAGTCTCTTTCACACATTAGGACGGAATTAGAGGTGACGGGAGAGGTGAGAGGTGAGTGAGAGAACGAGGTGAAGCCTGGCTTGGGTTGGACAGGGTGTGCTTGTAAAGATTTCATTCCATCCATCTCAGTCCTAAGCAGTGAGCACGTCTGGTTCCGTCTGCTTTGGTCACCTCAAGGCTCACAGCAAGGTACGGGACACCAGGACTGCTTGCTCATCTTGCCCTCCGCCGGCCTTGTCTCGTCTGCCGTGCCCGGCCAAGTCGACACGGGCGTGCCACCAGGTCTAGCCAGGTCCTTTTTTGCCGTCCGTCACGCACTTGTTCTTCGTCTCTTAGACTCTAACCAAGTGTACACCCCCCTTCTCATGAGACGAGGGACCCAATGCGCGCGGCTTCTGTCACACCAGGCGTTCTTTCGATGAGATCGCGCGGTCGACAATGTCATGTATCTAAGGTAAGCCAAGACATCTCGATAGCTTGTGTCTGGTTCGTCACCTCTCTATTTCGCAGTGGACAACAGCGGTTGGCTGGCACCAGTTTGGCGTTTAGCGCTGGGTCTATGATTTGACGACGGCTTGGTAGACTTGGATCGCTGAAGGCCCAGGCACACATCCTCACCAACGTCACTCACGCTGCCTCCGTCCGTCCATGCTTTGTGCGAACTTTGGGGTACGCGACGTGCGCTACGGATACACGAGGCACATGTCGGGCCAGGTGAAAGCAAATCGATAACGACGTCCCTGGTGGAAGCGCTATTTGCGAGCGAGGCGCCTCCCATTACCAATCACCTGAATGATTCTATGGGGCCTGTCTGGAAGGAAAGGAGGAGATCAATACAAAAAAGATTAATAAGAGCCTGTTGTCGCAATAAGAGTTGATAGTGAGCTCGTCAATACATGCCCCCATTGGTCGCACTGCGCTGTGTACGGACACATAGCGGCGAAGGTGAACAATCCCATCAAACAAAGGGAATTGACAGAAAAATTAGACGATACCGAGGGCTCGAGTGAAGGTGAGATTTGACCAGGGATGGGAAAGAGGGACTTGCAAGTGGGAGTTTATCGCGGCGACCTTCTGGTGCAGTAGCGTCGGATGCAGCAGGGGGGTCCCTTGGAACCATAAAAAAGAGGCCCGGTGCAGACGCCTGCAGATGCCCACCAAGCAGCGAAGCGGCCGAGGGCACTGGGGGGTGGGAGGACCATTGATGGAGCGCAAGGGGGAGAAGACGCGCAGAAACGATGGAATAAATTGGTGAGTGGACAAAAGGGAAGGAAAAAAGAGGGGTGGCGTCGTGTGTGGTTCGTGCGAGCGAGAGTGGAACTGTGGGAAGCGAGTGGGAGCGAGATGGGGGATCCCACCTCAGGCACCAGGAGGAAACGGTACGTGTCTATCTGACAGGGGAAAGGAAGGAACAGCTGCAAATGCGAGTGAGTGATCCCCCCCAGCGGCAATTCCCAAGTGCTGACAGGGGCAAGAACGAGAGGGAAAGGTGGGGTGGATGCACTTAAGCGTCAGGCTCGAAGTTCTCTTTTCCTTATGTAATCTATCAAGATCGCATTCAATGAATACCTAGTAAAATCACCGTCTTCGCGACAAAACTAGATGGGAAATTCAGCAGACAAATACTTTTGCTTTGTAAGAAATGAGTGCAGTCCAATTCATTCGCGTCAATGAAAGCACGGATTGCTCTAGACAACAAATGAGGTACGCAATCATCGGTCTCTTCACCGCTTCCGTTGTGGTGCCATGTCGTATTGCCTAATACAATGTCCGGATATAAGCCCCGGTTCTTCGGTCCCCTCATCAGAGCAGAAGCCCGATGTGAGAGGACGTATCGCATCTTGCGGTTCGACAGCTCCACACTTCTGATTACAGTAATGATACGGCGCAGAACACGGCAGGATAGGATATATCAGAGTCTAGGTACCTTAGCTGCTTACATACCCGTGTACCATTGTATGGGTTCTGTCTTTAGCAATTAGACTCCTTTTTACCGTTACGTGCTCTACCTAGGTACCTTGCTATATGGTGGGAAGCCTGCTACAGTCTTACTCTTGATAAGATTGATGAACAGGAAAGAGACTGCATTTTGAGAATAGTCGAGATGCTCCAGTCGACTGTGTCCGCGGCCTGCTGCGGCCGATGGTGACGCGTAGGACCAAGACATACACCTAGGTCTTACCAATGCACTCACACTTTTCGAGACAATCTACCACATTGGAACGACTTGTAGCCATACGTCTGATTAAAAGAAGTTGAAGCGTCTCCGTCTCCTTCACTCAATGACTAACATGGGATGTGTTCGAGTTGTGATGTCTCCGTTCCGTCCCGTCTCGTCGTCATATCTGAGATGAGCTTGAAAGTGAGCTTCCTCGGAGACAAGGCCACAGAGTTAAAGAGCGTGAGGCATGAGTGGTTCCTTCCAGCGAGCAGAGAGCTTTGACCACGTGGGGCTCCTGTTGTCTCATTGTTTGACTGCGCACTGTACGTATTCGTACGACACCAGGCAGGTACGAAGGATGGGAGGATTCGTATGCTGGACGGCAGGTGCAATGCCAAGTCTCCAGCCTTGCACCTCTTCCCTTACACCTTCAGTATTCCGTATCCGCCTGATAGACTCTGCACTTTACACAACCTTATAGAGAGGCCTTCCCTCACTTTACCTGTGTACGATACTGGTCTTGCGGTCTAGAACCCGAATCGGACGACCTTCTTTGCTGACCCGAGGTTGAATGAGATCCATCAGGCCAGCTGATAATTAGTGGTCAACATCCAGATACGTGCATTTATTCCATCCTGTTACGGGTCTCGTTTTCCAATATCACCCAAATAGCTGCGAATAGCCTCTTTCACTTGCTAGCAGCCTAACCTTATTTATCGCCTTTCAAAAGACTGCCCGTCTAATACAACAACAATCGGTGAACCGCCTGCAGGCTGCAGTCTCCGACGCCTCACCATGAACCAGGCGCTGAGCATACGCGACAAAAGCGTAGTCGCCACCTCCTAAACTCTCTCCACTAATTACGAGTCTGTCTGTTTGCGGCAGCGCCTCCCGCCGACTTGAGCCTCTTCGGGGTCTCCATGTCCACTTGAATCTTCGTTGTACAGCCCGCTCTAAGAAGGACGTCCATATCCCTCCATACATCAATAGCCCAGCAGCCTGATGGCGCTCGACCAATCTCTATGCCAGTCCGTGGCGCAGAGGCTGGCTCAGCTCAACTTGCACACATCCCATTCCAACCAAACTTCGGCCCGGAGGTCACGGAGAATCCGTGAAAGTTCCCAGCACATGCTCCCTTCCACCGCAACCGTCACCCCAAGAAATCCATCAAAGACGCCCTCACCTACGCATGACAGCAGTAAGGGACGACGCGCTGGAATGTAGAATGGCATCTTGGCTGTTCTCACCTGAGCTTACACGACATCGTCTGAAGTTACCAGCCTGCGCGGATCACTTCGTACGCATACGGATATGTTGTCGAGATACAGGACCCTGGGGCAACGTGTTGGACACCATGTCACAATCCGGCAATTCTCAACCGACGTTGTGAACCCCTTGCCATCACGATGTACGAATGCCTGCCAGGGGTTGAATGCAGCTATAACCTACGGATACAAAGGCCCACCTCAAGCGGCTTTGGTTCAGCAAGCCATTGCAGATCCACGTACAACGGTACACGCGCATTGAACCCTTGCCAACGTAGCCCAAGAAAGACAACCACCTCGCGGTAATGGTGATACCCGACAACTCAAACAGGAGCACGAGGGAAATCATATTCATCAAAGATCTTTCGTCGAAACAAATCAACGGACCATGATCAAATTTCACGCACTCTGACGATTTGCGCCACACTTGCAGACACCAGAGCTCAAAGAGTCAACTGTCCTGATCAGTATCGTTCAGCGAACTCGAACAACATGCTCAACTTTACGTCCAATCCTTCAGCATGGCACCTCGTAGGGGGGAATTTATTGCATACGGCATGCCGTCCTTGGTGAAGAAGAGATGAGGGGCCAATGGTCACGATCCGCTCACTGTCCAATTCGTACGGAGCACTTTACGAAGTCAAGCCGTACTGTACTGGGGCCAGACTGCAGTCAGCGCTTGATTTGAACCCCTCAAGCTTCCCGTTTCAACGGCTCAACTGGGACTACTGCACCCCAGCCTTCAAAGTCGCTAGAGAGCTTCTGTCATTATGACAGAATGGGTCGAGCGTGCATCTGTCCAAAGCATCCCGAAGCTTCTCAATGCCATGGAATCCGACGTCGGTATAACTAAACTTTAGCCGCAACCACACCCAAAACTACGGACCGAAACGATGTTGCTTCCACCTTCATCCCTTGCATCCCGGGTTTGAGCCAAGACGCCTAGCCTGACATCTGAACTCTGGCTTGCTTGCTTCCGCCATAACTCAACGCCTTGACTTGACTCCTACTCTAGTCAGACAACCGCCAGGCACGTTGCGTGGCCCACGTCAGATCTCACGTGTCTTGACCATGCAACGCACAGAGAGCGCCAGTTCACGACAAACTCCTTGACGATCGAGCGACAGAGAATCCCTCCCTGGCAGTGCCTGGTAGGCTGTAGCTACTGGTGGCTCTGGCGCAAGGCAGCTTTGATTCGTTCACCGGTAACGCTTGAAGGCCATAGCGCATGAGTAGTCGCGGTATTCGCACCGGCCCAAACTCATAATGGTTCCTGCGCCGCCCGAGCTTGCATGGCTCGACCAGCAACTTGGCAAGACAGCGCCGATCATCTTCCCACAAACACCACCATCAACTTGGTTGATGTCTGGCGACGTTGCGCTCAGATCGTTTTTTTCTTCGTCCCTCCGCATGGTTCCATGCTTTCGAGTGGAGGCAGCTGGGGCGTTCTCGGGCCATGTTTCTCTGCATCTTGGGATTCTGGCACTCTGAAGTCTGGGTTGTTGGATGTACAGCCACCTGCCGAAGCAAAGTTGCAAGTCATGCCACTTTGATCTGCTGGTCGAATCCGCCATTATCGCATGCTGAAGCGCTTCGAACAATATTCTTTTCACGGCGCATACCTGCTCAGACAACTAGAGAGATGCTCGGTGGCCATCAGTATCAGTATCTAATCCACATTCGGGATACCCCAGAATAGCAGACTACCAATACCCCGGGTTTAGGCGCAGCCAAAAATTTCCATGTTGCCATACCAGTCCTGCCAGTGTCCAAAAGGAGTTCAAGCGAGCGAGGGTTCACGTTGGTTTCTAGAAGCTTGGCCTCTGCAAGCATGGCCGCCAGGGTGGAAAGGCGGATAAGCACAGCACTGGTCAGGAGTACCTTGCACTATCGCCTCCATGAGGCCATTAAACAGGAGGCAGCGGCGATAGTCCCGTGTCGTGCTTTCATCCGCGCGAGGCTATCTTGTCCAGCAATGGTCTCTTCTTGGACCGTGCTTCACCTTGGACATACCAAACCGATTTGATTTCCACGAGATTTTTAGAGAACCCATCCCAAGCTCGGTCAGTTGCACAGTGTGACACGACATGGATAGATGAAGTTCCGGACAGGCCACTGAATGGATGGCCACTCCATGTCCGGAGGGCGACAATGCGACGACTGGGTTGTAGTCGCAGACATGCTTTTGTGGAGCATGAACTGACCTTCCATCGATTCTCGAGTCTTGACATTCGGCTGACTCGATGCAACAGGCATAGCGTGGCCGAAGTGGTTGCTGGAAGTCTCAAGAGGTTTCCTCAGCCATGGGGAAGAAGAAGAGTCGTCGATAAGGATCCGCGAGCGACGGCCCCATTGTGCCGTCACGAGACGGAGGTGTAGCCAAACGTTGTCGAGCACCGTCAGAGATAGCACCGGGGCCCCAATCCACAGCTCATCTCCTGGCGAAACGGAGCCAGTCTCGAATCGGTAGGTAACCGTGCTGGCATATCTCGCTCGCGGGCCGCCATCATACGCAGTAATTAGCAATTCGAGAACTGCAGGCCCGTGGTGTGTTGAACAGCTGTAACAGAAGCTTGTCATTCTAGAAGCCCTGGAGGATCATTTCGATCCACCCCTGGCCTGCAGCAGTGCAATCCGCCATCGTCTCCGTCCGACATGGGTCCAACAACGATCTCTTTGATTGTTCGCGTTAGGATGCCTGCAATTCAGCAATACTCTCTAGCTGCATTCGCCTCGCATCACGGTTTGGCTGTTGGTCGCGGGCTCGCGGCCGAAGTGATGGGATTGATTATGTACACGCAACGACTTGTGTGTGTCTGCGAATCAGGTCATGTATTCGCGCGACATCTCTACTGAGAGCTCTGCCATTGTCTCAAATTGGGCCCATTGAAAGGGCTCCACCATGTGCCCGAGTGCGGTCTCCGCGCCTCCACAAGTCAGATCGTGAAGTCCTCTTGAAGAGTGTGTTCGACAGCTCAAACACATCATTCATAGTTCGTTGATGATGTTGACGGGTTGGCAACGTATCCCATTGGAAAGACACTGGGATGGTTGAATACTTTTCACAGAAAACCGATATCACGCTGGTCAAATCGCTGTTGGCTGCTCCAGTATCGGAAAGCACACCATCCTAGAATTGATCCGCAAACACTTTATACTCCAGATGATAGAGTTACAACCGGATATCCCGAACAAGATTGCTATTGCCGCAACGGAGCCACTTCCTTCGGGATCGTGGGGGTTGATTCCTATCTGATTTGAGTTTTAGGCTTTGCTAACCATTATTCGAGATCTTTCCCTGCTTCGCCCTGGGTATCATCCTCACCCTCCGCGTTTACACGCTTACCTTCGACTCCTTGGACAACCTCGGCCACGATGCTCTCAATATAAGCCTGGTCCCTGTAGCCGAAGAAAAAGTCAGCCATCCGAGTTTGAACTTTGTGGTGATGAAAATATCCACAGCTATCAACTTTGAGCACGTTTCTGCGCAGTTTGATGACTTACCTTCCAACTAGCGTCACTGTACCGTTCTGACCCCACCGAGGGTAGCTGCCGACCTTGACGCCCTTGGGCTCGACCTTGGCCGCGAGCTGCGTCAGGTACCCGGCGACGGCGCTCTCCGGGAGCGGAGTAGAGATGAGCACGCGGCAGAGACCCTTGCCCTCGGGATCGGTGAGCCGGGGCACGATGCCTGGCTTCAGCCCATCGAGGAGCTTCTCAACTGTTCCCCAGCAACGCGTTAGATCAGAACCATATCCGGGCAGAAAGATGAACCTACAAAGTCGCGGGACGCCCGGCAAGATGTGGATGTTGCCGTTGACGACGTTGACCGGCACCCAGAGGTCCTCGTGGGGGAAGACGAACTGCTTCTTGGGGTCGCGCTTCTCGTCGGTGGGGAGGATGACCATGCGCAGCTTCGCCTGCAGGGCGGGCGAGTCGACGTCCCAGTCGAAGTTTGGCTGGCCCGGATGCGGCTTGGAGAGCTTCTTCATCTTTTCAAAGGCTTCCTGGTTCAAGACGAGGGGCAGGTCAAAGGCCTTTGCTATTGACTGGTAGGTGATGTCGTCGTGTCTATCACAAACAGTCAACTATCAAGCTTCAAGGATTGGTTCGAACCCCATGCTTCTTACGTTGGGCCGATTCCGCCGCTGGAAATATCATGTTAGCTGCGGTCTTGGTGCCATTGAGATTGGAGGGAACGCACCTGGTTACCACAAAGTCGTAACGATCGCTCATGCGCCTGACGGCTTCGACGATTTCGCTCTCGTCGTCTTCAATCACCTCGACTCTCTTCAAGTTCTGTCTTTGGGATTAGCTCGTACTTCTTGGCAGCACTCATTGCACAACTAGAACTTACAATGCCCAAAGAGAAGCACCACTTGGCCATGTAAGCCGAGTTTGTCTATGATGATCGATTAATACGAGTTGGTCACTACAAGCCTACTTGACAGTCTAGATGGCCTATCAGAGTGCCGTTTACTCACATCAACAGTCTACGAATTACGATAAGATGTTAGCCATTCATGCGATCTAATATACGTGACCCCAAGTGGTTCGATGTTGAGGCATCTCCTCACCTTTCCGCCGAGAACTTCATCTCCGATAATGAGACACGCCGCCGTGTGAATCGTGCGGGTGTTGCGTTCGTCTGCCGAAACCATGATCCTGCTGTTACGGGCGAAGCCGGAGGAGACTGGGAAAGCGGCGGGCTTGACGGCTTGTGTAATCGATTGGGCCGAGGGGAGATGCCGAGACAGCTGGGTGAGTCGCGCGAACATGAGAAAACAACGACCCCCGACGTGATGCGGTGTGTCTATACGGGATGCGTAGAGAGAGGTGCAAATGTGTGTGCCTCAACTCTGTCTACCGATCTCAATTTCGGACTAGGTCGATTTTCGTCTCACAAAAATCGATGATGTCATATGTTGAAAAGAAAACGAAGGTTTTCGGCAAAAGTAGAGAGGAAAGGTCACGACGAACGGCAAGGTTTACGGCAATGGGGCCATGGGCTGATTAGAGTGGGCGGAAGAGAGCGATGCAGGGTCTCTCTTTGGGTACGGGCCGGGGCAGGAGGAGGAGTGCGGAATCGAGAGTAAGGCGTCAGAAGGCACGAATCAAATATTGAGATGCGGGAGCTCCTTTGGAGGCTCCGAGCTCCGGTTCGGGGGCGAGCGGAGGACGGTGCTGCAGTGGACGAGATCACGTGACTGGCTTATCTCATTGTTGGTATGATGATGAGTAAGGTAGGCTCCGGAAATCTATCGTTTCTGCTGTGACTGATTCTTATCCCTTGGACCGTTTCTATTGATCTTTGAGGCGATCAATCGGAGACGAAGTAAAAGCCCAGACATTTATCCCACTCCCAGCTCTCACTGCAATATGCTTGGTCTTTTTTCCATTGACATATTTCAGCGATTTGTAAATCGCTTGAACAGTCAAAGACTTGAATACTTTCCGCTAATCCTAAAATAGCAGTATTGAAAAGAAAGTCGGCAGTGATAATGTTACCAGTTGAAGAATAGACAGGCTGAATCTGACCAACCCAAGTTCAGGTACCTTAGGTACTTATATATATATAAGAAGTGCATGGCTTACATCGGCAAATAATCGGAAGGACTGGACTACTTGAAAAGCTCCCGTCCGGCGGGACGGTAGGTGAGGTCACTGGGGTGGGGCCCCGCCCAAATGGCGCGCGGGGCTTTCGTTGCGCTGGTCTCAACTCCGTCGGAGGCGGGGGAGGGGTGGCTTGACTTTCGGCCTGACGGTTTCCATAGTGCTGGCGACAACAAAAAGCTACCCTACCTTACCTTAACTTACCAAGAAACCTCAAGAACCCTTGGAGATATCGTTACATCTTGTGTAAACGACAGCTTTTGATTCTCTGGGCTTTCGAGTCCTCGTTGCGCTCTTCTCTCCATTGCATATTTCGAACAAGATAAGACTTGATAGTGCCCCTCTCTGGCCAACCCCTCCTCGAAGACAGCCATGGTACGTGAGCAAGCTTTCCTGTCGCAAGCGCAGCTGTCACTAGAATACCCAAGACTGACTGGCTGCATTTGCACCATTAGGCCTCCGAATCGCGGCTTTACACCTTCTCCCAGGAGACAAAGGACCACCTGCGCAAGTTCCGTCTCGGAACTTCGCGGTCTAGCAGTGCTCAAGCTGTCATTTGTATGTATGTCTCGTTTATGTCAAACACTGGGCCCCGACTAGATACCCTTGTGCGCCGGGACCAAAGCGTATCTAACCTAGATGCTCACCTTTATGCTAATTCATTAGACTACATCGATAAGAACACGCACGAGATTAAGCAAGACGACGACAAGGTCGTGTACAAGTCCCTCGAGGAAATTAGCGACGACCTCCCGGATCATAGCCCGCGCTTCATCCTGCTGAGCTACCCTCTTACACTGGTATGTTCAGGATTCATTTAGATATCTACCTAGGATGAGGAGGAGAAATGGGGAAGAATTTGATGGCTAACAACTTACTTCGCTTCAGGCCTCCGGCCGCCTGTCGGTGCCGTACGTCCTGATCTACTACCTCCCCACCACCTGCAACAGCGAGATACGGATGCTCTACGCCGGCGCCAAGGAGCTGATGCGGAATACGAGCGAGGTCATTCGCGTGATTGACATCCGGGAGGCTGAGGATCTGGAGGAGATACCGGAGAAGTTGGGCGCTGAGTAAAAGTGGCAATATGAGTCTGGAGAAAAGGAAAAAGAGAAGAGACGATATGAGGCATGAACTTTTGCAAGGCGGGGAGTAAGCATCTACATAGACAGTCGAGGGAGAGGGGACCACAGGCTTGGCCCCGTTCATGAAGAACAGGACGGTAGTATGCAGCATTTCGCGTACATAATACAAGTGCTTTGCCGATACAGCTTCTACGTAAAATGTTGATGGATATCTCTTGTTATTCCTTTCGTTGAGTAGCGTCTAAATCATGATCAGGAGAGCAATATCTTCTCCATTTAATCCTCCGGCAACACATCCTTCTCATTCAGCCCCATCTCCTTGCTCACATTCCTCACCACCTCCTTGAACGCCAAACATGCAGGGCTGTCGGGGAAACTATCAAAGAAGCTCTCGCCATAGTCGCACGCCATCCCGATCCGCGGGTCCAGCGGCACGCTCCCCAAAAACGGCACCCCCATCTCTTCAGCCAGCGCCCGCCCGCCGCCCGTCGTTGCGCGGAAGATCTCGCTCTGGTTCGTGCACTTGGGGCACACGAAGCCCGCCATGTTCTCCGCGAGGCCGAGGACGCGGATGCCCGCCTTGCGGCAGAAGTCAATCTCCTTGCGGACGTCGAGGAGGGAGACCTCCTGCGGGGTGGTGACGACGACGGCGCCGTCGATGCCGCTGTCGCGGAGAAACGTGTTCACGCTGAGGTGCTCGTCCGAGGTTCCCGGGGGCGTATCGACGAGGAGGAAGTCGAGGGGGCCCCATTCCACGTCCTTGAGGAACTGCTTGATGAGGCCGTTCTTCTTGGCGCCGCGCCAGATGATGGCCGCGTCGCGGTCGGGCAGCATGAACTGGATGGACATGACGCCCAAATTATCGAGGACCCAGACGGGCGACCAGCCCGCGCCCGAGACGTGGATCGTCTCGGCCTCGACGCCGAGCATCTTGGGGATGGAGGGCCCGCATATGTCCGTGTCCATGACGCCGACGGCGCTGTCCGGGTTCGTGGCGAAGGCGTGGGCGAGGAGGGTGGTGAAGGTGGACTTGCCGACGCCGCCCTTGCCCGAGAGGACGAGGATCTTGTGGGCGATGCCGGAGAGGCGGGAGGCGATGATGGGTATGTCCGGGTCCGGGCCTTTGACGGCGGTGGCGGCGCAGATTTCCTTGTTGGGGCAGCCGGCGCAGGAGTCTGCCGTGCCGGCGGCGGCGGATTCTGGACCCGGGCAGTGTTCTGGTTCTGGGGCGACGAGGGAAGGTTTCTGTTTGAGGGGGTTGGCAAGGACGTCTTGGACCGCTGAGTCGGGGTCCGCCTCCAGGGAGGGGGCCATCTTTGGAGTTGCGCGCTGGGTTCCTGTGAGAAGAGTGTTGATTTGAATGAGAGGACGGGATTGCGAGTAATGTGCGGTCAGATCCTATCGGTTATGGTGAAAGCTGGAGGCGTGTAAATGAGATGGTTGAGTTGTGTTAAGGTGGTCTGGGTCCGGGACCGGCGACGGGGTGAGGCCAAGTGAGGTGAAGTTGATTGATAAGCTGGACTGCAAAGCGGTCCTGTGGCGACAGTCAAAATCGGAACTCGTCAAAAGTTTCAAAGTTATATGGAAAATACTGACAAGTGGGTTTTACGTCGTTTGCTGCTTGGGGAGGCCAGAGTTCACTGCAAGTTGTATGTAGGTTGAAGTATGAGGTATCTTAGATGAAGAGCGGTTGACAAAATGAGTTGCTGTCAGTGGTGGCAATGCCGCCTTGAAAGTCCGCTGCGGTTGGAACCCCACTTAATAGAGTCACTATCCAACACCAACTTTGCTGATGTAACCAAAAGTTAAGCTTTGCAAGACGGATAGTTGCTCTGGATGGAAGCCAAAAGACACAGAATGTCATCAAAAAAGCATTGCATGCATGCAACGAGATAGAAACACTTCATAGGTGATTTTGGCAAAAGATGAGGTCCATCCAGGATTCGAACCTGGGCCTACGGAAGGTTCTGAGAATCAGAATCCGACGTCCTAACCAACTAGACTAATAGACCAATCAGAACTGTTTGGCTTCTGAAGGAGGGTTGCGGAAGAACAGGCTATGATTGAAGTCGGAGTGGACTACAAGACCCGTAAGATTACGTACGGCGAGAAGCACTCTCAGCTGAAGTGCCTGTGTTCTGCAGGAAATGCAGCTGTGGACGGGGCTGCAGGGTTCTCATTTCAGTGAGGGGCAGATCTTATCGGGTGCCAATCACCCCGCTATGCCCCTCGCAAAATTTCTACAGCCAGCCCGACTTTATCAGATCCGACGGGCAAGAGACCACCCCTCGGAGGTAAGTCTTAGTCCATTCCGCCCTCCTAGTATACCATCGGCCCACGCCCTTCTTCTTTTTTCCTCTCCATTCAAGCCTCACTTTGAGTCACCACAAACTTTCATTGACGGCATTGTTGTCACTTTTCTTTCAGCCTCTAGAACGAAAGATACCCCTCTCCATTTACGCACACCACAAAAAGAAAACGCAACAATGTCCCCCTCCGCCGACCTCCCCGAGACGCGCGAGACCCTCGAGGCCATCGCCGCTGCCGACCAGTCCCAGACCATCGCCGAGCTGCGCAAGACGCTCACCTCCGAGACGACCCCTCTCCCCATTCGATTCCGCGCCCTCTTCTCCCTCAAGCACGTCGCCTGCAACAGCAAGGGCGCCGACAGCGAGGCCGCCATCGAGGCCATCGCCGCCGGCTTCGCCTCCCCCTCGGCCCTGCTCAAGCACGAGCTCGCCTACTGCCTCGGCCAGACGGCTAACCTCGTTGCCGTCCCCTACCTGCGCAATGTCCTGACCGATCTCCAGGAGGACCCCATGTGCCGCCACGAGGCTGCCGAGGCCCTGGGTGCGCTTGGCGACGCTAGCCAGCTGGACATCCTGAGGGAGTACAGGGATCGCAAGGGCGAGGACATTTGCATTGTTGAGACGTGCGAGATCGCCATCGACCGTCTCGAGTGGGAGAACTCTGAGCAGAGAAAGCTGGAAAAGTTGCGCAAGAGGTAAGGCTCGCATTGCTGCCATGGAGGCAAGAAGGGGGGGTATCTTAATTAACTATGCTAACGCCTATGCCCTCGTGCTTTCACAGCGACTTCACGTCCGTAGACCCCGCGCCTCCCATGGAAGAGTCGCAGCGCACCGTGCCAGAGCTTGAGAAGACTCTCATGGATTCCAACCTGCCCCTTTTCCTGCGCTACCGCGCCATGTTCGCCCTGCGCGACCTCGCGTCGCCGCCCGACCTGCCGACCGCCGTCCCCGCGGTGCTGGCCCTCGCCAAGGGCCTCGCCGACTCCTCCGCCCTGTTCCGCCACGAGATCGCCTTCGTCTTTGGCCAGCTGTCGCACCCGGCCTCCATCCCCGCGCTGACCGAGGCGCTCAGCAACACTGAGGAGGCCAGCATGGTGCGGCACGAGGCCGCCGAGGCGCTGGGCAGCCTGGGTGACGAGGAGGGCGTTGAGGCGACGCTGCTCAAGTTCCTGCACGACAAGGAGAAGGTTGTGCGCGAGAGCGTCATCGTGGCGCTGGACATGGCCGAATTCGAGTCAAGCGGCCAGACGGAGTATGCGTTGATTCCCGAGGCGGCCAAGGCGGCTGCTTGAACACGAAGTGGTCTTTTTGGTTTTGGGAAAGTTGGGTCGGGCAGGTAAATATTCGGGTGGTATTAGGTACTTAAAAGCGACGGGCAAAAAGTTTAGTGCATTTCAGTTGTTATGAGACCATCTGGAAAATAAGTCGGTTAGTATAAAGTGGGAAATAGCTAGCTCAGTCGGAATGAAAGGAGGCATTGGCATACTTGAAACCGCATTCGCAGGTGAAGAAGATGGTGCTGCCTTCATCTGCACTACGAAGCTGCACGGCGGTGAAGCGGACCTCCTCCGCGCCGCACTTGGGGCATGTCTCCCTGATCGTGGCCTCGGTGTTGACGTTGTTTCTGTCGACGGTCTGAACATTGGACTGGAGCTTCTGTCTGAGTTGGGAAGGGAAGTCGGAAGGCTTGGTCTGTGTAGTAATCGTCTTGGCACCAGTGTCTGCATCGACCTTGTTAGTTTAGAGTCTTGCACAGCATAGTCAGTAAGTACGCCAGCGGCGATGAGCCTACCCTTGTTGTCGGCACCGCAGCAGTCGCAAGTGAGGGTGTTCTTCTCCGTGCCCATTGACGCTGGCAGAAGGTTACCGCAATCGGTGCAAAAGACAAGGGTTCCAATGGCGGACATGGCTGCAGTGGGATCGGCGTGTGCTGGTATCGAGTGTCTTCGGGTGTTCGGTGTGTGTGGTGATCGACGGAGTATCGCGGCAGAAAGAGACCGACAAAATATTTCTGCGAAGAATTTCGGACCATTGCTACCTCCTTATCGTTATCTTTGATCTAATCGATTGTCTCGTCGCCCGTCTCCACTCTGGTGCGTATTATGTAATCACAACTTAGGCTTGCTGCAGACTGCGAGGTGCGCAAGACAAAGAACCTTGGAAAGTGCCAGGGGAAACAGGAAAGAACGGAACAACTGGCCACTGGTTGGCCGCTCCTGCCGCCTAAAGCTTCTGCACGGACCACGCGACTGGACAAGGGTCCTTCCACGCGAGGCTGTCGCAACCTTCCGACCTTCTCATCACATCCACGACGACAACGACGACGCCCGATCGCAAGAGATCGTTCTTCCCTATTTGCGAATTTTCGGCTCGGGACTATGCGACAGGCGTCTTCCTCTTTGGCCTGACCTCTAGTCTCATTCGTTCGCAACCTCCTCGACCGACAAACGATTCTTCCTCCGCTGCGCGTTTCCACGTCCGACACCCTTGCCGATCAGCTTCGCCAGTGGCTTCGAATCTCCGTTCTCCTCACGAAATAACATGTCTTGAGGCCCGGATTAGGTCCGAGGAGACAGAAAAAATGGTCAACAGCCAGGGGACCGTCCAGAACGGTCCACCCAATGGTGGCTATATGCAGCCGCAAGCTGCAGAACAACGTCCGATGGCGCGACCGTTTACGCTGTCTGAGGCCCTGCCTTACTCTCCTCAAACCTCCGTCATTCCCTTTACCTCAGGTTGGTGGCTGTCTTTGTTTGAATACGTGGTCGATCGTCTCTAATTGACTTGGTTCAGATCTCATCCCCGATCCAACACTTGGCTCTGGTTCGCTTGCTTCCAGCATCTCGCAAATGTTCAGCAGTCAGGAATTCGACAGTCTAAACAAGGAAGCAACGGGACAAAATCACAACCATGGCATGAAGCACCTGAAATATGCGGTCGATCACGTACTTCACGATTTGAAGCCCAATCAACGGACCTACTTGTGAGTTGAGCCTATACCCCCGTCGGTCAATGTCTAATATCTGTGTTTTGCAGCAAGTTCAAGACTGTCTCCAAAGCGAACCCGAACATGGCGAATAGTCCAGCTGGATCGTACCAGAGTCTGAGTGCTGGTCTCTCCCCGGTGGCGAAGATGGTGTTCGATAGGGCTCCCACATTCGTCAAGCCTCCGGGAACATCGACCACTGCCTCAGCCTCCGCCAACGGCCAGCTTGCACAACAGCCGCAGCCACAACCTCCGTCGACACCCAAATCTGCTCCGCCGCCGCCGAAGCGTCCATCAGCAAGTGCAGAAACTCATCATGGAAACAACTTCCGCTTCGAAGTAGCGATCCCGTCCAAGAAATTCGACCCTAGCGCATATGTGGAGGTCCCCGATCAATCCGCTCCACAGCCAGCTACAGTCAACCCATCCGACGTCACGAGAGTTGTCACCCCAAGCCAGATTGCTCCGAAGCAGCTGACGCCTACTCAACCTCAGTCTTCGGCGTTGCCGGTCCCTATACAGCCTGTCCCCGTTCAAGCGACCCCTACGCAGCCTTTGACGCCCTCCACTACACAAGGACCACCTTCAGCCGCTGAAGCTCAGAAGACGAAGTTTGCAATAGAGTTGCCTCGCGCTCCTGGATTCAATAAGGATGAATATCTTGAAATGGCGGCTCCAGACTCTCCTGATGAGCCAACGGGTTTGTCCATGCGAAGACAGGACGGTGCCTATCAAAGCCGACAGGATGATATCAGCACCAACCTCAACCAGAAGCAACGGGCGGAAGCAGCCCTCCAGGACCTTGAGCGACTAATCAAGAGCGTACTCGATGCCACTAGAAATGTGCTCGGAAACGAACCTGGTTACGAACAGGTTGCTACCCTGAACCCTGACAATGAAGCTGTCTTGACGGGGGCCACGCAGCAGAAGCTACAGACCGCCATCCAGAAGTCCATCGATTTAGGCAGTTACGGCGATGCGCCTATCGAAGAACTTCAGTACCTTCAGAAGCTGAGCGAGCCGGGCCTGGCGCATACCCTCAATCTCGATTATCGAATTGAGGAATCTTGGGGCGAGTCCGAAGTCTCTGGTTGGCTGAATCAGCTTCCAGAGATTGAGATGGGCCTGAAGACTGCGCGCACATGTCTACGCATAATGTGTGGTGGCAGGGAAGAGAAGCAGATCTATTCCGAGGAGATTATTCAAAAGTCGACAGATGTCTTCAAGGGGGTTGTTGAGGGTATCGTCATTCCCGTGGTCGAGATGAGGGGCAGCGGCCCGACATCTGCGCTATTTAAGCTGTTACAACCTCACAAAAAGGCGATTGGCCCGATTCTCACGAACTGCCAGAAGCTGTTCGCGCTGCTCGCCAAACTCGTCACAAGCATAGAGCTTTCGGACACTGCTCTTGGCATGCTAGAATTCGCCGCATCG